ACAGGTTCCCCCCGGGGGTATCCCGTGTTTCCGAGAGCTGCCAATGTGGTCACTGATCCATTTGAAGTTTAATGAATGCCTATTCATGAAAAACCATGAAGAATGAGCTGTCGTACGGCATGTTTTGGTAAAAAATTTACCTATCCTAGTTATTTTGAGTAACCCCTGTAGTTAACTTGATACAGACCATGCAGATTGAAGCCATCGAGTAACGAGGCGCAAGCAACAGAGATGTGAGACTGCAATGCATCTACGGAAGGGCGATCGTTGCTTGGTGTGTTCCAGACAAGTCCCGATTGATTATAATCGCCAAGAAGAATAGTATGATCGTTATTCCCAAGGTGTGAATGTATCGCTTCGATAGACTCGATATGGTTATTCACGCTAAGTAAATCATTCTTGCGATCAGGTGGAAGGTAAATTACACCACTACTATCTGAACATTGATGCAGTTTCAACTTAACCCAAAGCTGTTCTAGAGATACATTTACCGGAGTGGGATCAATGTACCCGTTGAAATTAGTTGAAATAGCGATCAACACTCCACCGCCACGTGATTTATGACTGTTAATATTGCTGTGATCTGTTCTGTAAACGGTGTAGGAATCTCCGAAAAGCTGTGGTGAAAATATTTTGTCAACAAGCCATGTTTCCGTAAGCAGTATAACGTCATAATGACATGACGAAACAGCCAGAAAACGTCGTCAATTTTCGTACGCACTCCTCGAACATTCTGGTAGTACACCCTTAGTTTGTTATTAGCATCTGAGACCAGTTCGTTGCAAGCAAGTGTAACGGGAGTAGGCACAGAAGAATCGTTCTGGTCGTGCAGTACCATTCACAGCTTCGGCTGGACATATACTATTTTTAGCGTTACCTGGACGAAGATCTGGAATGCCATCGAAATCAGTAGCGGAGTAAGAAGTCAGGAAGGATGCGCAAGCAGTGGCATTGGGTCCACTGGCAGGAAGGAATGCTGATGCTGTTTGCTCTGCTTCGATGACCGGTAACGGCTGAGCATCTGGGCGTGGTACAGTATCAACCACTCCATTCATAAAAGCGGCGCTGTCAATGAGACAGATTTCAGGAAGCGACAAAGCGGTAATATTAACGTACTTGCCTAGGTTAGCAACTTGGAAGACACCCTCACCAACTCCAACTCCACCATGGTTCAAGTTACATGTTACATGTTTTATGTTCTATGCTTTATATTTTATGATTTTGCTTCTGGTTTTTTTTTTGTTATGTTTTTTGTTTGATTATTCATGGTTCATTCCGAACTTCTTTCCACCAACCATTAGGTCTTGATCCAATGAACAACTTCACCCAAGACAGCAACTTTCTAAATGGCAAGGATTTCAAGTTATAACGTAAACTATGGTATCACAAATTCAAGCACACTAGCGCCGCGTAGTAAGAAAATTCCGAACATCTGTCCACCAACCATAAGGTCTTGATCTATTGAACAACTTCAATCATTCGAATCATTCGAGACCAACGTAAATGGAATTCGTGTAGAACGAGTTCGCGTTCTTCGGAGGGAGAGTGTATCTTACTTAATAGCTTCCTTTCTACTTCAAGTAAGCTGCATTTAGTTACATTTTTGCGATAAACATATCTAAAATTTGTTTTTTTCTGCGTGCATTCCCTAGTTATTTCAAAAGATACGTAATAAAGTGCTTTATTCAAAAGATGCCACTCAAATCGTTCTACATTGTTCTCTTTGACACCAACTTCCTATCTCATTTAGTTTTGTTACAATTTTTTGTTCAAAAGGGTGATACGGTCAAAATTTGGTCAAGGGAAAACGCGTGTAAATCGGTGAAATCGTTTATTTAAAAAATCAAACTAAATTTCTTTTTCAAGTTCAATTAGTATAAAATTCAGGAAAAATATTCAGTTAGGCTTCCGCTTTTCCAAATCCGAATTGCCGGGCCTTACGCTTGACCCCTGCCATCAGATTTTGTACAGCCACCTTGTCCACCTTCTTCGCCGCAGAAAGCCAGTTTGCCTTTAACTGCTGCTCGCCCTTAGCAGTTTTTTTTGGTCTTCTTTAGGTTCCGCTTGACAATAGCCCAGTATTTCTCAATTGGGCGGAGCTCTGGCGTGTTGGGAGGGTTCTTGTCCTTGGGAACCACCTGCACGTTGTTGGCGGCGTACCACTCCATGGCCTTTTTACCGTAATGGCAAGATGCCAAATCCGGTCAAAACAGTACGGAACAACCGTGTTTCTTCAGGATAGGCAGCAGACGTTTATTCAAACACTCTTTCACGTAAATTTCTTGGTTGACAGTCCCGGAAGCTATGAAAATGCTGCTTTTCAAGCCACAGGTACAGATGGGGTTGCCAAACCAGATATTTCTTTACGAAATTTGACAGTTTCATGTGCTTGAAAACATCTGCTACCTTTCCCCTTCCTTTTGCCGTTTTAAACTCCTGTCCCGGAAGCTGCTTGTAGTCGGCTTTGACGTAGGTTTCGTCGTCCATTACCACGCAGTCAAACTTCGTCAGCATCGTCGTGTACAGCCTCCGGGATCGCGCTTTGGCCGTCGTATTTTGTTTATCATCGCGATTTGGAGTCACTACCTTCTTGTAAGTCGATAGTCCGGCTCGTTTTTTGGCTCGATGCACGGTTGTAGACGATACACCCAGCTTATTTGCGGCATCTCGGAGAGAGAGGTTAGGGTTTCGCTTGAAACTACCGGCAACTCTCTTTGTCGTCTCAGCGGCTTCCGGTTTTCGATTTCCCCCCGATCCAGACTTCCTGGCTGTCGACAAACGTTCCCCAAACACTTAAATTACATTTGTAACGGTTGATTTGGCAACTTTTAGCGATTTTGCCAACTTTGCGTGCGAGTAGCTCGGATTTTCGCGATGCGCGAGCAAAATTTTGATACGCTGCTCTTCTTGCTTGGACGGCATTTTGACAACTGAAGAGTGAATTCCAAAATCAAAATAGGAGCAACATTCTACACACACACACCTTCAAAATGAGGGGTGTTCAGGTTCAGGGGCCTCCCTTAGCTCAGTCGGTAAAGGCGCAGCTACAAAGCAAGACCATGCTGGAGGTGGCTGGGTTCGATTCCCGGTCCGGTCTAGGAATTTTTCGGGTTGGAAAATTTCTCGACTTCCCTGGGCATAGAAGTATGATTGGACTTGCCACACAATTATACCAATGCAAAAATGGTACAGGCATCGAAATCTCTCAATTAATAACTGTGGAAGTGCATCTAGAACACTAAGTTGAGAGCACGCAATAAGCTAATATGCGATATGCAATAAGCTTGAAATGCGAAGAAGAAGAAGAAGTCAGGTTTTTTAAATGCAAAATTGAAAGAAATACGTCAAGTTGATATTGACCAAATTTTGACCGTATCACCCTTTAACCACATCATGGTGGGTCCCAACGTGTATTACTATTGACGTCTATTTGCAGCGCGCACAGCACACTTGATCGCCTCGTGAAGTGACGGTCTGATAAGTGTGACATGAACAACATTGGTTTTTTCCGTCCGTATTATTTTTCCGGATACTTGGACGCCGTTAGTTCGATGAAAATGATAGCATATCCGTTCAGCATTCTATGTGCTGAGGCTCAACGAGGCTAAGAATCCTGATAAAGGAAAACGTACACAAATCAGCCGATAATAAGGATACCCGACTGTTTATGGCCAGAGTTTCGAGATATTCAAATTAAGCCAACTCACACATATTGCGTATTCCATTCACGCAGTTTTCACTCAAATCAAGTTCTCGATGAATACATGCTTCCTTGAATGTACCCATTAATGAGTAAAATTTCAGCCATTTAATTCGAAAGAAGCTCCTCATAAATGGGTAACATCTGTAAATTTGACCCATTAAAGAACTCTGTTCTTGAAGGTTATTCTTTTTTTCAAAACATTCACTCATTAGTGAGTTAAGGGGGGAAATACAAGTAACACGTCAAAAACTCGACGATCTTTGGAATTTTTATGTGAGCAAATGAAACAACGCAAACATTTGGGGTTTTTTGCATTAAATTGCTTAAATCTTCCTCTACATTTGAGATTTTTTTCATTGGTGTGTGACCTCTGTTGCTCCTTGGGGTCACATCGGAAGGAGGTCGCCTCCGGTGGGGATTGGCGGACGTTCTAGAGACCTGAAAAATGGACAAAACTTACTTTCATCAATTGGACCTTATTCAGTAAAGATTTTAGTTCTTTGTGAATCTCCAAAACCCAAAAAAAAAAAAACGATTCAAAAATTTAGAAAAAATTATCTGGAAAAAAAAAGTTGATTTTTAACTGTTTTTTTCACTTTAGGCAAACCTGAAAAATATTTATTGTTATTGTTATTTGTTATTGTTATTCATGATATCAGTAGTTCACATAACGTAAGAATCTATTTCCTTTAAGATGCGCCAGGTTTCAAGTCATTTGGATGAGAACTTTTTGAGTTATCTTTCACGCCAATTTGGAAAACACCGTTTCGAGAAAAACGCGTTTAAAGTTTTGGGTTGTGTAAAAACATGATTTCTGAAACTTGCGGCTAATCGGCGATACCGGGGCCATAGATCACTCCTTCCTCGTGATCGTAGCACTTTTTAAAAAAAATTAAAGTAAAATATAAAAAATCGATAAAAAATAATTTTACTTGTATAGCCTAAGTGGCTATACAAGTAAAATTATTTTTTATCGATTTTTTATATTTTACTTTTGGCTTAAGTAGCCACTTTACTTCAAAATGTGTTAAATTTTACACATTATTGAACACTTTCAAGTTAGCGTGTATACATTGATATGGCAGTTATATTCAAAATAGTAACAAAAAACCCACATTTGTTGTACATTATCAAAATTAAAGCAATTGTTTTAGCCGGTTTTTTTGAAAGCAATTTTTAGCATTATTGATGTGTCACTTAACAATTGGCAAGTGTAAATAGGCTCTTTGAGGTAGTTTAAAATATCTACAGTACAAAAATTGTAAAACAAATAATGCCAATCAAAACACAAACTCACCTGGTATATCCTTATTGTAAAACTCCAGTACATTTCCCAGCAACGGATTGGGCTTCGGTCCAGCAAAATAAGACGCTACCCGTTTCAATTCTTTCCTTGTCACATAGAATTTCACCAACAAATAGATCAGTGTCGCCACCGCAATAGCCACCAGCAACATTTCGAAGGAAGTTTAACAGCACTTACTTCAACACTTCAAGACCAACTGAGGTAACTGATTGGCACGGCCAGTTCAACGGTTACTTAAATTTGGAACACAGTTCCATCTCAATTCCCTTCGTTTGCTGTTATCGATAATCAGGTGAAATTGTCTTGGCTTAAGCGCTACACTTTGGAATTGAGATAAGCCAGCGTATAACGTCGCTCTGTGGTCGATAAATCGGACTACTCGTGCCAAACAACTCTTGCTTTATCATAAACGTACACGATTTTTTGTGGTATGCAATTTACACTTATTTTCATATTTTGATTTGATGATTATCAAATCATTCATCCGAGATAAGGCGGCATAGGATATTTCTATTCAATTTTAGGGGGACCCCAAAAGGAAATTTCTCTATGCCCTGACGCAACGTTTGCAGACCCTGCCCTCATCCCTCTCCTAACATGCTACGTCATTCATGTTCAATCTCTGATACAGAGAAATGCGACGTAGTGTCAGAATCTCCAGTTTCCTCTGGATAGATAAATGTGATCATTTTGAAAAAAAAACTAGTATTTCTGATACAAACGGTATCGTTGAATCGATTATGGAAACGGAGAATGATAACAACGTTATACCAATGTAGACCAACTGCTGCATTCACACTGGCTGGTGCCTTTTTTCCCATCATAACATCCCCAACCATCACCCACCCGGCTTCCTTTGCTACGGTGTAGGTTATCGAAATGGATCGGAAGTGTGCGAAAGAAGCTTTCCATCAATGAAGGAAATTCAATTTCACCCCGCAAAATAGGCAAACACAGTGCATTCAATTTGTGTGAGACTTTTCCATTCCCCATCATAATTGAAAACCGGTCGGTCGTTGTGGCTTCTTCATCGGTCGTCGGTCGTCGAGGAAATTTAACATTGTTAGTGAAAAGCTTGAAAAGCGACATGCCGTCTTCAGTAGATGCATTTAGCTCACCGCGTTTTGGCACACATAAACCACCCAAAAAAAGAAAATCGGAAAACTTTAGTCCCCAACTGCTACAGCCAGCGCCGCGGCAGGATTGCATTGGGCTAAGCGACGTGGAAGAATTGACTGGCGACAGTCAGACTAGTCATTTTAAAAATAACTTTCAGCGCTCAACTACCCCACATGGCTGGCTGGCTGACAAAGATATAACGTTCGCTTTTATCATCACCCCAGCGATCGTTTTCGGTTGGTGCTCCGCCATAGCGATGATGTTTGCGCTTTGAAATATTTTCGGGAAGGGGTTGCAACTACCGAGTTCTTTATTGTGGCTGAATTTTCTTTTCGCACAGCGAAGCAGTTCGGCTTGCCTCAGTTCCATCGCTTCGGGGGCCAGTGGTAACAGATATACTGGAGTGTTTTTCTTATAACTTGCTGGGTCGCCCCCCGCCCCCGCGACAACCCTATTATATCCGTTCGCTGCTCATTCTCCTTGCTAAGATTTATTTGACACAATTTGGTTATGGGAATGTTGGGCTGCACTGCGTTCCTGAAGTGTAAGCTATACGGAGAAATGGGAGCAGGATGACATAGATGAAAAATCGATCTCTAGGTTGATTGTTGTTTGTATCCGATTTGAAGTTTTCAATTCGCTCCATCGGGAAAAGTTCAGAGAACGGAGAATTTCATATAATGCAACTGAGATGTGTTACTGTGCAATTGTGCAATTGTGAGGGTGTTACATACAAAAACAAATGAAGAAATTAAACCTTCTTAAAGTGACGAAACCAAGGAGTGACATTTCTAGCTGTTTATGATGCTGTTTCACCTTGTAAGATGGGTAAAAAAGAATTATAAACAACTATACATACAGCTTCGAAAACCTACTTTCGATTTGAGGCCTGGACGGCTGAATTTAATATACCTATCGACTCAGCTTGACGGAAAATGTCTGCATGTGTTTGTATGTGTATTACGCGTTACTTAATAAATTAAATCGTGTTTATCAGCAGATAATCAGACAATCATCCTTACAAGTTATTGGAAATTGGTATGGACCGTAGATATTTGTCAACCGTAGTTTATGAACAGCCCCTTGGACGCTTTAATTGCCAAATGACATGTACCATGGTCCAGAGTTGGTAGCAGGTAACTTTTTAGTGGCTATAGCATGGGTCATTATTTTCTAGTCAGTCACCAAAAAGTCGTTTTCAAAGGAGGGATGTTTCTCAAAGTCTTAAACTATATTAATTATCGATCGAGTTTCCACTTGGTGCAATTATGGCCTCCACACGCTTCCAGAATGCACGGCAGGTTCTAATAATGTAGTTCTGGATCCATTTCTCTCCAGGTACGGGTCAATGTTTGTCTGGTGACGTTTAGAATAGGCCTTGGCCTTCATGACGCACCACATTGAGTAATCCAGTGGATTAAGATCGGGGCTGGAAGGCGGCCACATATCCTTCGCCCAGAACGGAAGATGTTCCTGCAACCACTTCTGAGTGCGGTTCGAGGTGTGGCACGGAGCCCCATCTTGTTGAAATACAACATTTGGCTTCGGACCGTACTGTTCTTTGATCCACGGAAGAACATACTTACTTAAAATCCCGATGTAGACCTCCGTGTTGACCTTGTCGCCTTCTGGAATGAACACCGGGTCCATTTTTTTGCCATCGGAAGCCACCAATCCAAACACCATAACGCTAGCAGGATGCTTGGTCAGATACACGTTTTTGTGCTCGTCGGCCACGTCTTTTACCGGAAGAGAACTAATATACCGGAATTTGATACGGGATCAACGGTAAACATGCTCTCGTCGCCAGAGTTGGGAAAAAACCGGTTGCGTACCGGTGCGGTTCAGCAAAGCACAACGTGTTCTCGACTGCTACACATCGTGTTTGGTTTAGATGCTGGTTGTGTTTCCATCGAAGCTTGTTAACCAACGCGTGTTTCGTTTACACGACACCCCGGTTTATGTTTGGTTTTCGTTTACCGGTAAACGAGTTTGGTATGTAAAAATTAAAAAACACAAAACCGAACCAAGGTTGTGTAGCGGTTGTGTTTTCGGCTTGATATTTTACGGACGTGCAAGTGGTGCCAGATTTTTTTAATATTTTATATAATTATTTTAAAATTATCTCAAAATATCTTACCCATACCAACAATTTATGACCGCAACCATTTCAAAATCCAATATGGCGACTTTCGGTTAGAGAAAAACTGGGAAATACTGTCAAATACCCCACAATATGGGTATTTTTAGAACCGGAATGACGTGTAGGGACCGGAAATCGATGTTTGACGCCATTTTGAAATTCAAGATGGTGGCTTCCGGATAGAGAACAGCTGGGGAATACTGTCAAATACCCCACAATATGGGTATTTTTGGAATCGGCATGACGTGTAGGGACCGAAAATCAATGTCTGACGCCATTTTGAAATCCAATATGGCGACGTCCGATTAGAGAAAAACAAGGAAAACCTGTCAATACCCCACAAATAGTTATTTTTGGAATCGTCATGACGTGTAGGGACCGGAAATCAATGTCTGACGCCATTTTGAAATCCAAGATGGCGGCTTCTGGTTAGGGAAAAGCTGGGAAATACTGTCAAATACTCCACAATATGGGTATTTTTAGAATTGGGATGACGTGTAGGGACCGGAAATCGAGGTCTGACGCCATTTTGGAATCCAATATGGCGGCTTCCGGTTAGAGAAAAACTGGGAAATACTGTCAAATACCCCATCATATGGATATTTTTGGTATTGTGGTGACATGTAGAAACCAGAAATCGATGTCTGACGCCACTTTTAAATCCAAGATGGCGGCTTGCGGTTAGAGAAAAACTGGGAAATATTGTCAAATACCCCACCATATGGATATTTTTGGTATCGGGATGACGTGTAGGGACCGTGTAGGGACCGGAAATCAATGTCTGACGCCATTTTTAAATCCAATATGGTGACTTCCGGTTAGAGAAAAACTGGAAAATACTGTCAATACCCCACAATATGGGTAGTTTTGGAATCGGGATGACGTGTAGGGACCGGAAATCAATGTCTGACACCTCCGAGGGGAGGAATGTTGGAAGTGTAGATGCTGTATAGCAAACGGCCCAGCAGACTTCCTTCGACTAGGGGTCGCTACACGTCATCCCGATTCAAAAAATACCCATATTGTGGGGTATTTAACAGCTTTTTCCAGTCATCTAACTAGAAGCCATCATCTTGGATTTCAAAATGGCGTCAGAAATCGATTTACGGTCCCTACACATCATCCCGATTCCAAAAATACCCATGTTGTGGGGTATTTGACACTATTTCCCAGTTTTTCTCTAACCGGAAGCCGCCATCTTGAATTTCAAAGTGGCGTCAGACATCGATTTCCGGTTCCTACATGTCAGCACAAGTTCAAAAATACCCATATTGTGGGGTATTTCACAGTATTTTTCAGTTCTTCTCTAGCCAAAAGCCGCCATCTTGGATTTTTAAATAGCGTCAGACATCGATTTTCGGTCCTTACACGTCATCCCGATACCAAAAATATCCATATTGTGGGGTATTTGACAGCATTTCCCAGTTTTTCTCTAACCGGAAGCCGCCATCTTGAATTTCAAAGTGACATCGATCTCCGGTTCCTACATGTCACCAAAATTCTAAAAAAAACCAATATTGTGGGGTATTTGACAGTTTGGCACTTTGAATTTTGATCATCTAAGCTCTAATTCACTTGCACATTCGGCAGCAATGCACCTTCATTTACACCTTCTTCGCCAAACCGTTTAACCATGTTCAGCAAAAACCAGGTTCGGTTTGCAAAAACTGAACCAAATCCGTGGTTGATATTCCATGCACCCGACCCTAAACTCGTTTACACGTGTAAACGGTGCTGATAGATTCGGTTGTGTTTACGAAACCGAGACCCGGTTTTGGTTTCAGTTTCGTTTACCGTGTAAACGAAATGAAAACTTTACACTGTGTGCACCATTTGTTCACACGTGTTGCGATTTTGAGGACCGTACCAGTACATGTGTGTACCGGTTGGTTTCCTTGTCCACCAGTCGTCGGTGAACAGGATTACCGGATTTTTTCGCTTA